CAGAGGTTGTTTCAGGGTTCAATCTGTGAGATAGCCATGTCCTGACTTAGATCAGCCCAGAGGTTATTTCAGGGTTAGATCTGTGAGATAGCCATGCCCTGACTTAGATCAGCCCAGAGTTTGTGTAGGCTTAGATCTGTGAGTTAGCCATGCCCTGACTTAGATCAGCACAGAGGTTGTTTACGGAGCATGGGTGAAACTTTAATGCTCACAAGTCATCAATCACTGGCTGAATGTTAGAGGTGAGGTAGCAAGCAAAATGTATCATACTATATAATTATTGTATTACCTCTTGTAGTGCTGTATCATTAACCTTGCCACCTTGTGCTGCAAGTAAAATGACACAAGAAAAAAAACATAACATTTGCCTGCTACAAACTAGTAATTATGCATCGAATTGAAATATGCTGACTAAGTTGAATAAATATTGCTCTTGAATGACATGTATCAGAGACTAGTCAGTCTAGAGCAATAGTTATAAAAATTGGTCGCCATATTTCAATTCTTGGTTTGCAATCAATCCCAAGAGAGCACAATAACAAAAGGGATGTCCACCATGTTGGAAGATATAACAAAAGAATTCATTGAAAAATCTTTTGTCAAATTCTTCCAACATGGCGGCTATGACGTCTATTGCAAACGAAGAATTCGGTTTATGCTGTAGTACATGTACTAAGTATTAAACTTATAAATTAAATTTTGGATATTTGTTTAAATTATAATTATAAATCGTCCTCACCTAAATAGTCTACCACTTTCATCTTCCTAATATTCTGAAATTTAAAATTTTGAAATATCAGAAGAACTTATGAAATTATTTTACATACAAATATCTTGCTATGATTTAAAAACAAATTCCACTGAAGTTGAGGCTAGATTTCAAGCTTTCATGCCATTCTTACCGGTGGAAGTTTCAGGATTTCCAGTTTATAGGCATTTTTTATCATAGAATTTAGAGAATTGGCTTGAGATCGCATTTTAATGATTCTGGATTTAACTGAAATACAAAATTCAAACATAAGAATACTGAATTTGTGACTCGAAAAAAACTCATGTATATGACATAAATTTAATGTAAAGCTTCAATTCTTATCCATCCCTAGATAAAACAACATTATTTACATATTCTAGAGGCATCATTTTGTCGTATTTTAGGTTATTTAGAGGGAAAATAAGTGTATTTTTTGAAGCTTACTGACCTTGGACATCAAAGTCTTGGAGATAAACTTCAAGCTTTTGTCGTCTTTCTTCATCGTTCATTGAAGTCTCCAGATCACCTTCTGGAAGGGCAGGCCGTTTACGCCTAGCTTGTTGAAGCTTAGTTCTCTTTCTTCGAGCCGGCATTGAGCTGAAAAGGAAAGATTTTAATGCTAAAAAGTAGCGATAAAAATAAGGTTTTTCTGTTCGACTTTCTGCGCCAAAATATTTTGAAAAGAGCGCCAGAATAGGTCATGAGCCCGCGATCAATAAACGTCCCATTGTAGTCCTCTAACAGACTCACAAATATTCCCCCATTTAGTCCCTACAGCATTTTATCTTTCTATTTAAAAAAAACTATTATAGAAATGACTTTTTATCAAACTTTTGGGTTAATTCAATTCAAAATAAGTATACTTTACTTTAAACTAAAAAATAATTTGGTTTTGACGAAAATTTCGTATATTACCCCTGGAAGTCCCGGATACATGTTGCTTTAAAAATTCGGAGCTAATTTTTGTCAAAGTTTTAGTTTAAATTAATTTAAAGATAGCATAATTTCATCTTAGATAACGAGAAAAAATGAAATTTTAAAAAGATTCCGAATTTTTATGGAATCAGTCTGTAGACTTAAGCCCTACGACATGACGTACCTTGTTTTAAAATAAGGTACCTAGTTACCAGTCCTTCACAATAGAACAAGCTGTTCTGCTTCTACTTCTTCTTTGTGAATTTGGTTCAGATTTCGGCCAAATATGACGCTTTTTCACTTCGGAAACTGTCTTGCTTTAGCTTATTTCCCTTATTTGATAGTATACAAGTGTTCTGGCATGTAAGTTTGGTGTTTTTTTATTTATTTCAAGTACAAAAGTTCAAGTTTTAGTTCAAAGCTGAGAGTAGCGTTTGTTTAAGAAATCATTCGTCCTTTTAAATATAGAAAATGCCGGGTTTTGCAAAACTTTGATGTTATTTCTCATGATTTAGGTCAGAATATAGTGCTTTTTGGCAATGTGTGAAAGCAGGAGGCGCTTATTTAGTAACACAGCTCTGTAAGGTAAAAGATTGTCTTGATATTTATTCATTGTGACAAATTTTCTTAACCCCTCTCGGGGTGATGATTTAAATGTCACCTTTATTTTCATTCATTTGGTGGCGTTTCTTTTTCAGATGTTGGTCTTAGCTACTTTTTTTCCTACTTCAGAAGTACCACCGGATAGTATGGACTACATAGGGGTAAGAGAATGATATTATTTTTTCCCAATCATCCTATTTAGCAATTAGTTCTGGAGTCAGAATGGGCTATTGGCTCATAGGCCATGAGGGCGAGAGAACTTATTGCTTTAGTCAAATCCATTTAATCGATCAAGATATATAGATGCAAGAAAATTAAAGTTAAATCTAACTTTTTGGCTTTCAAATCCGGCACTTTTTGCTACTAGTAGGATATAACCTATAGTCTAGTAGTGGCTCATCCAATCAGAATGTAGCATTGATGATAGGCCACAAGATGGATTTAACTAGAGATCCTTACAGCACAATRCGCAAAAGTATGGCCGCATTAAATTTTAATGTATTCGCATACTCTATGCATGAGTTTTTATGTTGAACTTACACATTTTGATGTGAAGCTGGCTGGTTTTACCAAATTAGGACTGTAAATGCTTGTTTAGCAGTCTTGTGCAAAGCCAATGCATAGAAGTATGCAAATTCATTAAATATAGTCATACTTTTTTGTGTTGCACTGTAAATGGAGGGTATCCGGTCTTTTCACTACCTTGCACTTTCACTACTTACCTAAAAGGTCAATTCGCTACTTAATAGAAGTCTATTCGCTACTTTATCTCAAAATTTTAAATATCACAATTTTGAGTCTATATCGAAAAATATAAATTGTGCAGTAGCGAAAGTGCAAGGTAGCGAAAAGACCGTAATTCAAATGGAGATGGCTTCTGTTTGTGACCCCTTACTCTTGGGTGAAGTGCCCACTTGTGTAGCCCACGTCATCTGCATTGCACAGCTCACTTTGGTAAAGATAAACAGAGCATTGTTGGTTCTCCATCATCATCATACCTCTAATTAAATCTAATTTAGTGTTATTTTCTTCCAGGAATTTCTCCGTTCAACAGTAGATTTAGCAGACCTTGTTGGGCTGTATTTAGTTATGTCAAAAGTTGCAGGGAAGGGAGACTTGAAGGTTCTTGTTGCTGGACTAGGTCAGTAACTTAAAACTTGTAGGTCTTTGTTGATCATAATAATTTTGTTTAAGCATTTCAATTGCCAATCAAAATTCTGTTATGATGTTGGCTTTTATTCAATAAACTAGGTATAAGCCATGACTAAGCAAAGGTATTGGTACCCTTGCTAGACCACAATGCACCATGGTTACTAAACTCAAGCATTGTGATTGGATTGGATTGTTTTTTGTTTGTTTTTTTTCGTGGTTTTTGATTGGCTGGAGCAGAACCAATTTGTTCTAACCACAAAACTGCATTTTATAGGCTGGGCAACTGCTGAGCTGTCCATGACTAGACTACTACCATTGTGGGTTGGTGCTAGAGGAATGGAATTTGATTGGAAATACATGCAGATGAGTTTTGATGCAAACATCAGTCTGGTAATAAGATTCCTATATTGAATAGATTGTTGGGGGACTGGACTGTAATACAATAATAATAAATGGGATTTAGCAGCGGCATTTCTACAGAGTAGAAAGGAGCAGGCGTAGCTCAGCTGGTTAGTGCGCGGCCTTCAGAGCTAGACGTCCATAGTTTGATATTCAGGAACTCCACGTCTGTTTCAACTTCTCTCTGTTCCGTGTAGCTTAATGAGCTTTAAATACCCGTAAAAAGGAGCACTGATAGTAAGAGAGGGTAGAGGGTGTACCTTCGAGCACATTTAACATGAGCCCTTGGCTCGGGAGAACTGAGCAACTACTCCCCGCGCTATCAAAGTAAAATAAATTACCTTTTCCTTTTTTTTTACTTTTTCTAGAATGCATGGCTCTTCATCCACTGAATTCTAATTTGCATTTAGAAGTCGATTTTTGAGGAGGGAGGAAAACCGGAGAATCCGGAAAAAAACCCTCGAAGCACAGGAGAGAACCAGCGAGAAACCTATTCACATATAATCAATTTTTGGCCTTTTGTTATAAGGACATCTATTCCTTTTAAAGCTCAATATTAAATATTGATAATATATAGAGAGTCAATGTCGTTAACGTTGTCCACCGAAAAAAGACATTCACACATTTACACATTTAGTCATTTAGACATTTAGACTAAAAGAAATATCATGTGTTTCCTTTAACATTCTGGCATAAGACAAACGCTGAAATACCTTTCTCCATCTTAAATCCTCGCTAAGCGGTCGGGGCATTCTGGATTTTCGATTCAGGAGTTGAATTTTACATTTAAAGTTCAGGCTGACGCACACGAGGCAAAGAATATATAATGAAACACGTGATACATGTATTTCTTTTAGTCTGAATGTTTAAAAGTGTAAATGTGTAAATGTCTTTTTTTGGTGGACAGCGTTAATGACATTGACTGTATATTAAATATATATACAAAATGTTTGTAAACGCTATTTTGGGGCCAAAGAACAAAATATCAAATGCAACCAAAATTTAGTCTAGATTTATAATGGCTTGTACTTTGGGAAAGTTGATATTTTGATCAGCAAAAAACCCTGACATTTCCATGAATATCTCCAAATAGTGGTGGTGGGAGAATATATCCCCCACCCTACCCCCCAAACTGCACCCAAGAAACAAAACAGGTAGCCCAACAGGTATAATTATTATTTGTAAGCCCTAAATATTTTTTCTAGGCTCATCATATTGCTACAGCAACATTGGTATGGTTGTGGGGCAGAACTGACCTACACAAGACATTCCTGCCTGTCGTCATGGTTTTTCTTACTTTAGGATGCTACAAACCACTTATCATTGAGTACGTATGTTAGTTCATCTTTTATTTGGGATACCTGTGGTAAGGTTAGTCAAAGCCCGAAGGGGGGGGGGGGGGGTAATCCCATATATGGAATATACGGGGATAATCCGCTGAACAGGGTATGGTTTTTCGAGCTTCTTGTCATAAACAGGGTATGCAATTTCACTCAAATTCCAAGTTCTTCCCGATTTTCCTGTCATATTCAGGCTTTCTACTTTCGTATTGACCGAAACTGGTTATTATGGTGGTCAAAAAAAAAAACAATACGCGAGCTGACATGATAATTGAAACAGGAACTCAGTGCAATTAATTATATCTTTTGTCATAAACAGGGTCTACCAGGTCCTACCCAAATCCTGGCAGAATACCCCCCGTGGTCAAAGCCCATCTTGATCTTTTCTGTTTTGTTTTGCAGAGTACTCAGCCACACATTTGGGGTACAGTCATGGGCTCTGCTTGTTCTTAAGGCATCTTTCACCTCCTGCATAGGATTTGTTGCTCTTCAACTCTACCTCGCTTTGACTACAGATCAAAAACAGCATCGGCCATAATCACTGACTAATGATATCAACATCTTGGCAACAAATGAAGGAGTTGCACCATCACAAATAAATGCCTTGAGTGCTTACAGCACTTCTTAAGTGCTTTATTGCTGATGGAGCACAGAAAAAGCTGTTTTATTCGTTTTATTATACAGTGTTGTTAATTTTATTTTGGTATTGAATTTATTTACGCAAAAAGAAAGACAGTTGCAGGATCTAGCTGCATTTTGTACGTGCAGATGGCGTCAGCACTGTGCTCTGTTCACTAATAAAGCACAGTTTTTGACCAATCAGTGTGCGCGTACTATCCTAACTATATAATGAATGCCTTGACAGAAGGCAGGTACAACTAGCCTTTACCAAAATGAGCAAAGGACTGGGTCTAACTTAAGTTTTCAAMAAAAAAAAAAAAAAAAAATTAGCCTCATCATAAGAAAGAACAACATACAATAAGCTTGTTGAAAATTTTTCAGGATGTTTGGCTTCATGAAAACGATGTTATGAGCATTCAAACCCTGCAAAAATTACAAACAAATGCATGGTGTCTTTCACAACCATACAGCCACACATACATTCTGTATTATTACAATTAATGAACATTTTAGAATATCATAATTTTGTTACAATTGCCCTAACTATATTAAATTTTCCATTCTTACTCGATTATAATGTGGTCTTTCTTGTCGTGGGGTTTTGAGACACTTGGTTTTAATATGCTTTTTATTATTATTTAGGGCTACTTGTTTCTAAGCTGATTTACACGAGAAAGAATTCAGTTTCTTAGGGTTATTGTAGTGCCTCCTGTCATGGCTGCCATTGCATGCTGCCATCGCATTTTCTGCTAGCAGAGTCTCCTTTCTCTCCCTTCTTTTAAGCAGGGAGGAGGGAGACTGCCTATGTAGAGTGTTTTCTTTCATAGTCAAAGAAACCAGTTTAAAAACCGGTTTTTAATCGGGTATATGTATTGCACATGAGCAAATGTAACACACCAAACATTTGATGAGAGCGGCTGTCAAAATTATGAAAGCTGCTTTCAAAATCATGACAGCGTTGCTAAGTTACGCCACATAGGCACGGCAGGTATAAGGTCCTCAACAGGCAGAGTCTATAGGCTCTGCTAGTAGGGAAAACGAAGTACAATATGGTGGATGGAAAAACAAAAGAATGACATATGACATTTTTCAATTTTGATGACATTGACAGCTTTGAGAGTTCTGAATTTTGGCTATGTTCTGCTGTCAATTACATGTGCACTCTAACTGGGATCATGTTTCGACAGTTGTCACTTCAGGGCTTAAAGCATCGACCTAACTAGTTTCAACTCACTCATACCTTGTTTCTGGCGCAATGTATATGACCTGCAAAGCAAAAATTTGAACGGAGAAGTTCCAATTCTGGCTGAACATTGTCCAATGACCACCTATTGTTTTAGGCCCTGGTTGTCGATAACATCTACTTTCTCCATTATAATTAAAATCAGAGCACAATCCCACTGATCTGAGGAATTTTTTTTAGCCAATCAGAATAGAGAATATTTGCAAAACTGAGATGTCACTTTTCCTATTGAAATCACAAATTTCCACCAAATGAAGAAAAAAAACTGTTGCCAATGAGTGTTTGATAACAGTGACAAGATAAACAAATCGTGAGGTATATATTTTTATCATAAAGGCGGACATTTCCCTGGTCAATTTTCACAGGCTTCGTGACACCTCAATTTTTCGGCGACGTCATTTCTACATCACTATTTCAGATCAGCTGGTATAGAGATCCCCAAGTTCAGTGTGGTAGTAAGTAATGTAGCAATCCTGTGAAGGGGTAGGTGATCTATTTAAACAGGACATGACCTGGAATATAAGGACTTGGCTGTAAACATTTGTGGTGTACATTTTCAGCTGACATGATGATTTTGACTTGGTATTCTCCAAGAAGTTTAAGGAGAGCTTGGAAAATCTGAACACATTTTTGATAAACTAGTTTTTCCGAAATGAATTCTATAATTGAATCATCTACCAGCTTACTCATGATTTTGTAGAGGGAGGAAATCAAGGCCTGGAGAAAAACCCTCGAAACAGGGGAGAGAACTAATTGACGCCACAGCCGAGCCTGAAAATCAAACCTGAGACCCCAGAGGTGAATTAGTACTGTGTACTGGACCTTGATTGCTAATATTCAAAGACTGTTAGCATGCAAACGTGTCATGGATTCTCATGCAATTTCTGGGCGTAGGGGGTCTAAAAAATCCTCCGTTGGGGTGGGGTTATGGATTATTTCTGGAACTGTGCATTATTACTATAGGTAAATTTTATAAATCATTTCTCTAAAAGTTGGGGAGCTAGCCCCCTCCCCTTCCTGGCTCCCACATCTCTGCAATGCCTGAAAGGATGCTATTTCCAATTCCCAGCGTTGACGGAGTATGGATATTTTGTAGAACTACACATTATAACAAACTTATTTGTACTAAATCATACTAATGAAGCAAAAGACAAACAATAGAAATTACACCTTTTTGTACTGTTTAGTGCAAAATACAGCTGATTCAAAAAAGGTTGGTGGACAAGAACAAAGCAAAACCATTTTTGAAATGGCAGACACTGCAAAGCATTTGCCAGACCAATCACATGGCAAGAAATTCTATTCTCCATCCTATCAAATACCCAGAACTC